ACCCAATCATTCGCGAAGAGATACATAATGGAAGAGTATACTTTATACCTAGAGAATACAATCAGTCAACATGTAACTGTGCCACATCACCAAAATGTGTAGAACCGGCGACACTAGAATTAGATTCAGGAGAAAGTTGGTCGGTGCCTGGGATGTTTATTGGATGTACACCACTTGAATTCATGCTTCAATCTACTCTAGAGTGTTTGTACAGTCAAGCATGTCTTAATATGATTAGTGAAATATTTCCAAACTCACAATATTTCCCTGCATTGATTTCTAATCGTACTCGTTTTCATCCGGTCAATACTACAAAAGTGGAATCGATTATGGATGAGCTTTTCATTGAACACTGGTCAATCAACATTTCTTTTGAAGCGTATTTTAATGCTTGTCGACCGAATATATGTACATACACACTTACAACACGTTTCAATATTCTCTATGTATTTAATACGGTTCTCAGTATTTGTGGAGGTCTCAGCATCGTACTCAAACTTGTAGTTCCTTTTACAGTAAAAATCACCTACAAATATCTACTCAAACGAAACAAACGAGTTGCACCCGCAAACGTAACATAGCACATGTTTATTGTACACTAAATAAGTTTATTTTTTTCTCTTTAATATTACTGTTCAAAATAAATTTGACAGAATCAACATAGTTTCTTTGATTTCTATTATATATTAAAAATAAATTTCGAATTTCATCGATGGTAAGGACACGGCTACAAATCGATTTCTTTTGGGTGAGAATATTTCTACAAAATCAATCCAAAGCTATGTGTAAAGTTTCGTCAGTTTCGAGGAGTAAATCATAAGGGCGTTGATGTAGACCTACTCTCCATGCTCACAGCCAAAATCACGCCCTCCCATACTCTTGTAGCCAACTGAGCTGGTAATCATCTGACTTCAACCTTACACATTTATAATCCTCACTCACACATCCATTAGTTAGAGACTGAGATGGTTACAACATGAGATGGCTACTAACTCAGATGGTAACCAGTGAATTTGTTAGTAAACTAACTAATTATAATAAAATATCGAATATAGATTGGATTATATTTGACTCGGTAGTTTTCGGTCAAAAATTTATTGGGCAATATCAGGATCGGCGAAACTGAGAATTACCAAAAACACTACATTGTCTGTAAAATGTCTTGCATAGTAGTGCATGATAAGTTCCAATTCATATTCGAATGGAATACCTAAAGAGGTACTCTATTTGATCATACTGTGTTGGACGGTAAGCATGCTTGTTGTAGGCATAAAAAACGCCGTTTCCAACGACCGTAACGATTGATCTGGGTACACGACACTAAATGCTCTTTTAAAAATCGACCGGCAAGCTTATGATTGCCACACAACTGACACTAACATATTAAAGAGTCTAGAAACTTTAAAAGATGCCTTCATCGTTTGATTGAAGAGTGAATTTGATGATTGTATGAAAAAAAAAGGACTGCATTTGTATCCATCTATAAATAGAAGAACTAACTAAAACTACTCACTATGTTTATTCATATTCGTTGCTCATTCATACGTATTTTTCCCTATTTGACGCACAATTGCAGGAAGTGGGTTTAGGTGTCAGTGTTCTTTTACCTCACATCCACACTCACACAATGTTTAGTATATGTGAAAAAATTTCAGCTCTATCAGTCATACTACGTCGGTGAAATGGCAGCGTTTTTGCACTTTTTCCATTGAAAGACTTGTTTTGACAAAAACACAAAGCAACTGCATAGTTTTTCACTGTTTTCATTGTATAGATTTGATTCCTTATTTAATTTTTTACCACTTAAAGGCAATTTTCGGGTCTCAAAATGTAGTCAATAGATTGATATGCTACTCGAGACTATAGCATATTCACAAAACATCAAAAACAAAAAATATTGGATGAAGAAAGAGGTGTACCCTTAAAATGAATAGCTCCTGCTGAAAATTATACTGTTTAGCAAGTTCTACTTAGTATTTGCTACAAGTCATAGCAGAGCAATTACAGATTGAAGCAATGACATGATTCACTTATCTCAATTGAATGTAACTCATCCTCTTGCTTCACTGTCAGTTAGTTATCTTGAAAATCATTTTATTTCTAATTTTTAGCTGCTATTATTGTTTCTAATAATGAGATTTTTGTTTGTAGGAAGGGTTTGATTTACAACGCGAAAATTTACTTCGTTTCTATGCCATAAAATGGCAAGATTATCAATTTTCAAGTAAAGTAACAAATGGTTTTTGCCATTATCTAAATCAGCCTTGGATACAACGGACATATGATCTAGGAAGAAGAGATGTTTATAAAGTATTTATCTTATCACATAAATTATAAAATTAATATAATTTTAGATGGCTAAGAAAGTCTGACAACTTATTTTCTTTCAACCATTGCAGAGACAAGTAACATTAACATGTCTTCAATTAATCAAATCTGAATGTCACAATAAAGAGATTAATACTCAATTAATTAGTGCAGTGCTTCAAAGTTTTGGTAAAGATCAAAATAAATTTTTTCTTCCTTGAAATTTATATGAAAGATTTTAGTTGAACTTGCCTTCGAGGAAATTTTTCTTCTTCATAATTCTATGACTGAATATTTGAAAAAGGTTTACTTTTTTTTTTTATAAAAGTGATAAAACATTTAATATTATTTCTAATAGGTAACACAGCATTTCGATGAAGAATCACATCGAGTAGAATCGTATTCACATCCATCAACATTAGCATCCTTAATTTAAAAAGTTGAAGAAATACGAATTTGTGATCAACTTGAAGCAAAAACACTTTTACATAATGAAAAATATTCAGATAAATAAACGAAAACTTCTCAATATGACTAGTCTAGAAAGTTTCACATTATTGATTTACTTTTTTTAAAATTTTTTCTTATAAAATCTTTATTTTATAGTTGAGTGTTAAAGGTTTCATTTTTTTTTATAGATTTGGCACTTTTATTCAAGTTAGTTGTTCGAGTAACAAATGCGACTTTTAAATTGGAAAATATTGTTGAAGATCACTTTTGCCTAATGGATATTGAAGTAGTCAAGAGAATCGGTAAAACTAATTTATTCGTTGTATCTTATAACTATATTTATTTCTATTTCTCTCTCTCTCGCCTTTTTTTAGAATTCAAAACTTTATGTTAAAAGAATTCTTGATAATCATACCGAATTCTTTAAACTTGTACGATGTTTTTTAAATAATGATCAACATTTTATTGCTGCTCTTAGTAAAGTAAATAGAATTTTTGTTTAATAATCTCATTTATTATCTTGTATGTTTAGGCTTGTGGAAATTTTATTAATAATAATACAATAACAAAAGCTACTCGTAATACAAAAAAATCAGCTGAATTGTTAACTCTATATTGTGATGCACTTTTACGACAAGGGTTTGTTCAGATTTGATACTTACTATTAAATTATAATTAGTTAATCTTTTAGAAGTAAAACTACAATAAAGAAAATTCATGATATTGGTATAAATACTTTAAATTGAATCTTTTTATAAATTTCTATCTGATAATATGTTTTTTGGTTTATTGCAGTTGATTTTTCTGTAAGAGTTCTCAGTTCAAATTCATGCCCATTTTCAGGGCTGCCCAATTTTGTTATACCAGATGAAGTAATATTTTTTTTTGTCATTATTATTTACTAAATCTTCTATTTTAGCTTAAACGAACATTTGAGAATTTCATGAAATTTTATACTGAACAACATAATAGACGTAAGTTGACATGGCTTCATCAACATTCCAAAGGAGAGTTACAAATATTGTACAATGAACCAAAATATATTCTACATGTAAATATTGATTTTATTGTTGTTTTGAAATATAAAAATGTATCAACATATCAAATGGTTGTTTTACTTTTATTTAACAAATTTCCAACTTGGACAGTCGAACGAATGCAAGATGAAACATAATCAAAGTTGATTTATTCTTGCAAGTTCTTTGTAGTTTATTGAAAAGTAAATTGATTGCATGTTCAGAAATCAATGATGATAAACTTAATGGAGATTTCAACGAAAGTAATATTAAAATGAATTATAGTATTCACATAAATGAAAACTTTAGTAGGTCAGTGTCTTTTTTCTAATCATTTTTTTAATGAGTTTATAGGATAATTGAAAAGAATATTTAACTTTTGATAAGAAATCTTACATAATACTGTGATTTTAGTAATACCGTAGATCAGCTGATCAAACATTTGAGTCATGTTTACAGAATGAGATGCAATCTTGGGTGACCAAGGAGTGTAACAAATGATGAAAGAGAGAAATATGGATAGATAGATTCATTAGTATATTGAATGATACGATCGACAATGAAATAACAACGAAAAAATCATAGTTAGTGAGTAATGAACCAAAAGAAGACAAGAACATAAGTGTATATGAATTCAAAAGAAATGCCATGAAAAAAGTAAATCAATATATGAATGTGATAACTAACGAAAAATTGATTAATAAAATAGCATATATTTGACCATAGCAAATAATACAGAAAAACAATAAAATCATAAATATAGGCCACCGTACACATAACAGGAAAAATGAAGGAATATAAATGGCAGCTAGCACCATTACATAGACCCCTAGTTTAGCCTTCTGATAGAGGGTATAATGTAGATGCGGGCGCGGGGTGTGGATGTTGGTTACACATCTTCTCTTCAAACGACACTCACACTCACAACCCATACCCTTATTATAATATTTGTTGATTTTGATATTGAAACATATGTATATCAAATGAATTTTCTTTGCTTTTCTCTTCTTTTTATTTTGATATGGTTTTGCAATAATAGCATTAATGTATCCAATAAATTATTTATTTCATTTTCCATCAACTAGTTTTGTAGTTATGTCATCAATAAACATCTTTTTATTGGTTTAATGACAATAATATTAAAAATAACGTTAAACGATTTTCAAGATGAATCAGATCTAAAAAAAACGTTGATAATATTTTAATAAAATTGTTTTTAATATTTTCACATTTTTGGCTTGAACGAAGTTTATTTGATTTGAGTAAAACCTATCAAATGAATGTATTAAGTCTAAAATGTAGTTCGTTCTTTTTTTTGTCTGTATCTTTTATAGTAATACTTGTTTGTTTTATATATTTTATTTTTATAGTTCCTGTATCACCGTTTCAATTTAATATTTGCAATATTTGTTGATCGGCAAAGCATCACATACAAATATGTATTTTAATAGAGTTTAGTTAATATTTAGTGGTTATGTTTGTATACCAAAAAATTTCAATATTATCAAATGAGGATGATAATGTTGCTGCTGAATAACACAGAATTTATTCTTATTATGATAAGAGAAGTGGAGATGTTTTGCGGATGATCGATTTAGTTAAAGTATGAATATGAAAAGATAAAAATAATAAGAAAATTATTATTTTATTATTCACAGATTTGTGGATGGAAATTTGAAAAAAACTTTACAGCTGTTAAACAAGGTGAATGTTTTGATTTATTACGTATAAATAGTTCAAGAAAATCGACAATATTTACAATGTTAACTGGAGAAATTTCAATGACAGATGACAATGCATTTGTCAATAATTGTAGTGTTATTAAACAGTTAGATGCTATTCATCAAAATTTAGGCCATGACACAAAAAGCAAAAAAGAATAATTGTTGCTATTTGATTATCTTCATGTTCGTTTACGTGGAATTAAAAGAAAGAATATTTCATCTATAAGTTTGTTTTTATCATACTTCTTAGACTAGTGTCTGACGTGAACAAGTTTTTTAGTTATAGTCATTCTTTCTAGTTTATCATGAGTCGTAGTGTCTTTTCTTGTATGATATTTAGGATGTGGGTGTGAGTGTAAGGATCTCTTTAATCGCACCCACACCCCACACCCATCTCACCTTAGTATTCAAAAAAGAAAGAACAAAGGAAATTTTTGCATTTGTTTTTTAAATGATAGTAGTTATTGTATCTCGTTTAATGACAAACAAAAACAAAAAAGAAAATATCAATGTAAACCTAAAATGAATACCATTTAGTGCTGTGCATTAGATGGAATATTGATTGACTACAGACAGAACGTTCGTTTCGAAGGAGTCTACTGATTACCTCATTTATTGAATTGAGTTAAATAGTTTATTTTGGCTATGATTCGACTCATGAACGGTGTCACTTATGAAAACACACTAGAGAAGCAGATGACTTAAAAAAGTATCACTTGTTAATTTTCATTTTTGGCATTTTTGTATCTTCTTAACACTGTCGAATTTTTGAAAATGGATTTCAGATGTGCACTCGGCACATTCTCATGATCTCGTCAAGCTTTTTTACAACTGAAAATGATATTCAGGAGCTAAAAACGAGTGTTTGGCTTGAATCTTGACTCATACATTGAGAAGAAGAATTTGCACGGCAACTAAGCGAGTGGAAAAACAAAGGGGTGCAATTCCTGTAGTCCGCCGACGTAAATAACTCGAATGATTCTATATAATTATATTAGAGATGAGAAAGGAAAATGTCTTCACTTAGCACCTTGTCTTTCTATATCCACCAATGTCAAATGATTATTGATGAAATAAAACAAAAAACTTATTTAACGATTATTCTATAGACATATTTTTATTAAACTATCTTTTCGTGTTATTATAATAGACTGACTTTAAATATAATGAATTAAGTTATTAGGCTTTTTTTTTTCGTTTTCTCTTTAGGCGTCCAATGAACTCAGAAGAAATGCTTTGAGTACTGTTCAGTATGCTAAATTTTGTCTTCTAAGTTGTCAGAAAAGTTCTAATGAAGTGATTCATATCGGCACACAACTTGTGTCTTTTCTCTAATACTACAGAAACATACACCGAAACTTGGTCTTTAAACATTTTCATTTACAATGATTTTAATATGCTCATTGTCGATATATAACACGATGTGATATAAGAGTAAATTAATTTTTTCTCATTTTTGATATCATTATTTGAAGAAGTCTTGTCCAGTTTCTTCGGGATGTGCCTGTGATTTATTTCTACATACGAATAATTATTTATATCTTCGTTTGAACTAATCTACTCATCAAAGAAAAACTATGAGAATGCTAAAATTGATTTGATAGGTAGATATCATAAGTTCTTCTTTTTGTTAATAATACATTTTATCACTAAGGTCAAAATTGTTTGAATTCTTGTTTCAAAAATGCATATATACTCGTCTGTGATAGAATATTGTCATAATAAACAATTAATAGTGAATTATTGTGTATTTGAAATACTTAACAACATATCAATAATGGCATGAGTAAAGACGTTTTCATGGAAAATTCATATTATTCATGTACTTTCGAAATATCTAATAGAAATGAGTTAATTCACCTTGATAAGAAACAAAAAAGCAGCGTCATTTTCTTGTTTGTAATTATGCAAGACTTGAAATTACTCAATTCTTTGAGTGTGCTTTGTCTGTGTATGTATATAAAGCACTGTTTTATGTGTAGAAGTTTAGTTTTTGACGATGGCTTCACTTGATTTCAATTACGCTGAACCGATCGCGTCGCCCGATAGTGCATCTGATTCTGATATGGATTCAACTCCAGAACGTGTTGGTGCAATTCACAAGTCAGATCATGTCGTGCTCAACGGACGTCCCGTCAAAGTAGTTGAAGTATCACATTCAAAGCCAGGAAAACATGGTCATGCAAAGGTTAGTTAACAATTTATTTCTCTTTTTTACCTTTAATTTGATCTTCTTCAGGTTCATTTAGTTGGTATTGACGTCTTTACAAGTCGTCGGTATGAAGATGTTCGTCCAGTTGGACAGATGATTCAAGTACCAAATATTCAGAAAAAAGAATATACTATTGTTGATCTCAATGGATGTGATTCTATAATATTACGTGATGATAATACAGGTAAAACACGTAATGATTTAAAATTAAAAGAAGATTGGGATATCACCGCTCGAATCCTCGACAAATATAACGAAGGCAAAAGTCGGATAAAAGTTACTGTTTTCAAGGCACTCGGCGAAGAGCAAATCAAAACATTTAAAGTAATAGAGTAATGTTGATGAATACATACTTATGTCCACAGAATACTGATCTCAACAGTATAAGAAAAAAATTATTTTTTAAGATTTTTTTTTTGAAAATAAAGATCCATCCTCTCATGAACTCGGAACGTGCAACCTCTATCTGGTATGGGAGAGAAAGTTAGAAATGTCTCTAAAGCCAATGTGCGTACGCAGAAGCTATCGGGCAGCAGCGATAGTGAATCGCAACGAAGTATTCGGACTGCACTGAAAGAGAATTTCGGTTTTTTTCTGCATCAATAATGTGATGCTTTAGAATTTGAACGAATTTCTCTTTATTTTCTGGTTTGTAGAGATACGCAAGAGTTTATTCTAGTAGTTTCTTGAAATGATCATCATTGGTGAGTAAATACTGTAAATAGTTCAATGTCTTTCAATGTCATTCGAAGATCAGTAGTTTGTAACGGCTCATTCTCAAAAGAGATACTTTTTTTTGTTATATATAGCAACTTAAAAGATCTTATAAGAAAACTGCCTCAACTGTTTTGTTCATTTAAACAAATCTTTATTAAAGGGTTCTTGGCTATTTAATCTATTGAACTATTTCCTAGTCTTTCTCTGTTTAATATTCAGTACTATTTAATTAACATTTATAGCTATCTATAAGACTTCTCAGCTATTTTATATATATACCTATTTTATAGCCTTTTGCTATTTAATAGTCAGCACTACTTAAATCATTCGAGCACTATTTAATTAACATCTATAGCTATCTAAAGACTTCTCAGCTATTATATACGTATATATATATACCTATTTCATGGTCTTTTGCTATTTAGTAGTTAACACTATTTAAAATTTCCAAGCAAAAATATCAAACATTGACACTGATTCAACTGTGCCATTGATTTGTCTCTCTCTCTCTATATATGTATATATACAAAGATAATTATCATTAAAAAGAATACATGTTCCGAAAGAATTTCACTGTATATTTAACCAATAGCTTTACATAGATTATTACAGACTTCATGTCGAATTTCGTTTACCGTTTTAATAATAGAAAGTGATCTTTTGATACTATTGTGATTGTGTGTGCATCTTATTGATTCCGTTTTATCGTTTTTGTTGTTAGTGAAGATGAGCAGTATCTGTTGGTAGAAACCCATCTTTTTTGTTCCATTTTTGTTATTTATTTGCAGACGAAAAAAATTCTCTTGAAAAAAAAATTATTGAAATTCCTTTTAACTAACAACTTTTGAATAGATTCTTGGTAAATTATTATTTTAAAGAAATGTTTAATGAAACAAATTAGACTTAATGAGTTTTTATATCGATTGTGATCACTATATAAATCCTATGAAAGTGTCATTTTATTTCCTATAAATAATGTTGATTAGTTAGTTGGTTGGGTGTGGGTGTGGGTGTGGGTGTGGG